TCTATAGTCGGTATTTTTTATATTTATAAACCTATTCTATTTACTATTTATTCTTTTTATCCGTCTATTTATTTCGTATACCTATTATTTTCAATACTTTCGCTTACTTCTATTATTAACCAGTTACTATAAATATTAGTATGTTAATTATATTGGAGGATGATAATTTGTAATTCGAGGAGCGCTTAAAGGATATACTAAGGAAGAGGAAAAGTATTATAATTTAATCACTATTAAGCGCTAATGGATTATAATCAGCTGGGTTAGTATTAAGATGGCCTTGCTACTTAAAGATAAATTTATTTATTAAAAAGAAAAAAGGTTGTAAGTCTTTCTAATTTCCTAATCCGTTTAAAGTAATATACTAAATTATATGCTTGTAAAAATGTACTAACTAATAGTACTTTAAGGATTAATAATCTACTTCTATTCAATTTCCGTTGATAATAAGTCTATTGAAATCTTTAAGCTATTAAGGTTAGTATAAATAATTAATAATTAAATATTTAGGCGGTTACTTGTAGGTAAAGATGTAGAAATTAAGAAGTATATGGTTATATATAGAACCGGGGATTATTTATAGTATAAATTAAGATATGTAAATAGGTTGAGAGTAAGATAGTAAGTATTAGTATTTATACCCGAAGGCGGAAAAAAAGAAAAGTAAAGATAGGTTATTATTGATATACTAGTAATTAAATAAACGTTTTTATTTTTATTTTTATCCTTTTCCTCCTTATCCTTCTTATCTTTCTTATCCTCCTTAATTCCGGTTAGGCCGCTTGAACGAATAAGAGCCGAAAGGCCGAAGAACCTCTAAATCACTAGTAATAGCGGTATCCAGCTCCTTCTTCTTCTTTTCCTACTCTTAGAATTACTTTAGTACTTTAAAATAGTATTTTATATCCCTCTTTAGCACTATAAAATAAACTTTAATGATGGATTAATTGAGGTACTTGATTAGAGTAGAAATAGGGAGGGCCGGGGGGATAATATAATTAGTGAAGGGGGGGAGGGGGGGTAGGGAGAGAGTGGTTGGGAGGGAGGTTTTCTTAGCGGGCGAGGGCTGGGGGGGTAGTAAAAGTTTTAAAAGCCGGAGGGATAGGACTGGGGATAAGAGAAGTAAAACGACGAACTTTATTATTATAAATACAAAGGATGATAAGAGTCTTATACCCGAAGGTAAAGTCGATAAAGCTACTATAGTCTTATGTGAGCCATTGTTACTAAAAAGAAATTGCTAAAAAAAAGGAAAAAAAGAATTAAAAAGAAAAACTTTACGGGGGGATAACGCCAGCCTTCTCTAAGCGAACTATAGGGCTAATAGTATTAAAAATATTATTATAGTACTTGCGTATAGCACTATCGTTACTAATATCTCTAATGTCCTACAACGCCCAATATACTATATACATCTTGAAACGTCTAGGGTTGCAATTAACCCTCTTCTAAGTATAGATATAATACTTCTTTCCTTTACCCGTTTTAAGCTCGATACAATAGTACTTATTCTACATACAATATTAATACGGAATATTATACAAATAACCGTATAGAAAGCTACTACTACGACTATTATCCTCGACTTTATTATTATTATCCTAATAGATATAATAATAAATATTATAATTGAATATAAAAGAAAAAAGGGAAAAAAAGGAATTTATAATTTTCTTCTTTTTTATAGAGGGGGAGGTAACTATAAGTTCCTTAGCCTTTTCCTTCTCTAATAACCTAGTGCGGCGGGGAAGAAATTTATTAATAGGATATTAGGGTAATTAAAATGAGCGATTAGTGGTAGTAATAGCGGCCGGAGTATTTAGGGAAGTATCTTCGTAGTAGTAGCGGCGGTTAGTAGGTATAGCAAGCTTAGGAGGGCGGGTAGGAATTTTGGGGGCGGGCGGCTAGGCTAAATCAAATATAGACGTAAAAGAACTAATAGGCAGAGATATATTAGAAGATACTATATTTATATAAGAATTATTAATTAGGCTAATAAAGCAGAAGGGAAAAATAGCTATAATACTAATAATTACTTATATAGTTGTATATAGTATAGTTTGGGGAAGAAAAGAAGAGAAAGGAGGGGAGTAAAATGATTCTAAACGATATATAAAACCTATAACTAATAAGGGTACGGGTAAGTAAATAAGTAGGTAGGTAAGTAATTATATAAACGGGATTTATTAGGTAGGTTGTAATAGTAATAAAGATGAAATAATAAATTTAAGGATTACCTATCTCTATTATATAAACCGCTAAATCGGGTATATATAGTCGAACTATCTATATACACTCGAATATATCGAATATATTACCGTAAAACGGACTTCGTACCCAAACCAATCGTCCTTCTACTTATCGATCGACCTTCCACTTATCAATCTACCCTCCAATATATTATATAAAAATAACCGTTAAAATTTATTAAAAACCCTCTACTAATGATATAAATAGAATTCCGCCTCGTTATAACCTCTTACTATAGTTAACGATAAAGAAGACTCCGTAGTTAAAGCCTCTTCTTATTCTTTTTTTAGTATAGGACCTCCCTCTCGAAGGGAGAGAGAGGGTACTAAAATAGATTTTTCTAGTCCCGATAGACTTTTAGGCAATCTAGTCCCAATGAATATATTTTCACTTGTTTGACCGAATGAGCGGGGATTAATAATGAAGTGTAGAAGGTTAACGCCTTTCGAGGAATAATAGATTTCTAGGCAATTTAGTCCTAATAAATATATTTTCAATAGTTTACTTAAATAAATAAAGATGAATTATAGAAGGTCAACGCTTCCCAAGGAACGTAGTACGTATTTTCTATGATAAAAATTCTTATTCGGGATTATTCGGCCTACTCTTAGTAAATTTCTAAGTAATTTAGTCCCGATGGACTTCTAAATAGTTACTACTGTATATATAATAGCTACGCTTTAAATAGTACTTTTCTACTATTAATAATCTATTTGCATTAGGGAGGTTTAGGAACGGCTAATTCTTATCGTAATTGAAACGAAACCTACCTCCGCTTATATAATAAGGGTATATATATTAGGAAGAGTATTTAGCTATATACTGGCTCTATAGTGTACCTACGTATTTTATTTAAACGAATCGGTAATCGGCCTTTATTTAAATTATACCCGTAGCTACTACTTTATTAAGTGTAAAGTATTCGGCGGTCTTGGCCTTTATTTGGGCTATACTTGTAACTACTACCTCCTTAGGCGTGAAGTATTCGGCGATTTTAGCCTTTATTTAGGTTATACATATAACTACTACCTTACTAAGCGTAAAGTATTCGGCGATAGCCTTTATTTAGGCCATTAGTACTACTCCAATAGATCGGCGATTAATTCGCGCTATAGTATTAATAGGTACTAGCTAATAGTAGGATTGTTGGATATTCTTATAAAGGCGTTATCGGCGTTTGATTCGCGCTATGGTAGTAATAAGGACCGGCTAGCGGTAGGATTATTAGATATTTTTATAAAGGTGCTTCAGCGATTGATTCACGCTATAGTAGTAATAGGGACTAGCTAGCGGTAGGACTATTAGATATCTCTGTAAAGGTATTATCGGTAATTGATTTACGCTATAGTAATAATAGGGACCGGCCAGCGGTAGGACTATTAAATATCTTTATAAAGGCGCTATTAGCGTTTAATTTGCGCTATAGTAGTAGTAGAGAGAAGGTTGATAAGGACGGTATTAATATAACGGTACTACTACTAGGAGCGAGTAATATTAATATTTATTTTAAAAGAAATAAGGCGATATATAAAATAAAAAGGCGGTCGTCTTGCGAATATAAAGAAACAGGAAATAGAAAAGGGGTAACGTCCGTACGGGAATATATATTAATTATATACTATTAATATTAATTAAATATAACTAAGGTGTATAGAATCGGTAATAGAATTATATTGCCAGTGCTAGTACTACCGGTACTAGAGTAGGAAGTAATATTCATTAAGGCCGCCTCCGAATAACGTCGGTATAGTACTCAAATTAAATTTTGCTACCTTTCGTCCGTATAGTATTAATATTAAAAGAGCAATCGAATATTATACCCTATAGCGTTTTTACTCTCGAAACGGCGATATACGTTAGGCTAGGGGTAAAGTCAGTTTTTAATATATCTAGGATAGTAGTATTAATAATCGTACCCTACAATTCATATATTATAATAGTATGAATAATAGTAATAAGGAACTATTTTTTCGTATAATAAGTAGAAATTTTTATAAAGTCCCGAATAGAGCGGAAAATAGGTACGATATTTGTATTAAAACCCTCCTATTTGAAATAGGGAGGATTAGTATAATTAGGAAAATATAATAATAGAGTATAAAGCGCTACTTTTCCAGGTTAGTTATTATAATACTAAGCGATATTGTGAATAGTGCTAATAGTATTATTTACTAACCCTTTTTCAGTCTAAACGTTTTTAGTAAATATAATTTTAACGCTAATAATTAGAGACAGTTATTTATAAAGGTTGCTAGTATAAATAGATTTAATTTCGCTAGCCTTCGAATTAGTATGATCGGCGTGTATTTGAATTACCGGGGCGCCGAACAATTTAAGGTAGTCTTAGTTGTAATTTCTAATTTGGGTATTAATTAAGTATATATATATAATACATCCTCGAAGATATTAATATTATACCCTTGCTATTGTAGATTGGTATTTACCTATATAGATAGGAGGTCCTAATGCTCTCGAGTAGGCTGCGAATACCGTAGACCTTTAAATATATTTCGAAACACCGCCTATTTATTACTTCCCTACCGGACAATCTATTTCAATTTAATAGTATAATCGAATGAATAGTACGCTAACTTCCCTACTATATTTTAAAGCGATAACTCCCTGTTTGGTTTTGTATTAATTAAGGCCTTTTCCATTATAGGGGGTAAATCAGTAGAAATCTCCTATTAAAAGAATATTCCTATTTTCAACAAAGTATTATTGTAGTTAGGAAACGCCTTCTTCAACTACTAATCTAGGTAATAAATTATTTTAAGACCGATCATCGATTTCTCGTCTATAATTAAATAAAATAAATAATAAAGCTTTAATTGCAAAGACGCTAAATTATTAGGGCTTAAGTCCAGTAGTATAGTATTATTTTTTGAAATAGGTAGCCGAAGTATCGAATATAATATAGAGCTATTAATATTATCAGCTACTATACTAGTAGGAGTAACCCGTATAACGATAGGAAGCCTTTATTCGTTGGTATATCGGCGGTTATTAGGAGTTAGTTCCTCTAGGCGAACGGAGAGTAGTCGAATAATATATGATTTATTAGTACTACCCTTACTAACGAACTATATTCTTAGGGGTAAAGGATTATTATTACGAAAAAATACTTTGTAATATCCGACGGATATATTGTAAATAAAGCGTTACTCGGGGTTAAGGCCGTCTATTATAGTACCGGTAACTATATTTGCTTTAAATATTTTAGGATAATTAAATTTTATACCTTTCTAATAATCTAGGATATTAATTATAATATTATTATATAATCCGTAATAGGATTGCTAGTTATATTCGAAGTTGATAGGGCGTCGGCTAAGAAGATTAATATCTTTATTAAGGCTTATAGGTCGATCCGGGGCTTCCTGAGCTATACGTATCTAATTATCCTACTATATTTCTTCGTTGGGCGGTATAACTTCGATATTACTTTTAGGCGGTAGTTCAAATGACTCCCTATTGTAGTTGTATTTATATTAATTATAAATATTTCAATAATAGTCGTAGGCCTTAGACTAAGTAGTATATACTACCCCGTCGATTACCTTTAAATTAGTATTAAAATAACAAAGGTAATATAATATTATTTTAATATAGTAAAAGTCTTAATAAGTACTAGATGTAATATCCCCCTTATATTTAGGCATACATTTTAGTATACATAGCTCCTTATATAAACGCTATAGCCGAATCGTTTAATTGGTATATATATAAAACTAAAAGTAAATTAAGTCGGTAAATTAATAATTGTATTAAAATTATTTGTTAAATTGTGCAATATAACCTTATACTTCGTTATTAACCTCAACGGTAAATGGGTTCTAATCTTCCCTAGGTCGATAATCTATAGAGCGGACTACCCTTATACCTTTATATAGGAGTAAGTATAGAAAATGATAATAGACTTCCTAAGTAGACTAATTTCTTTTAAGTAGTAGTTTATTTATTAATTTCGTTACGAAGGATAGTAGTGGCCTACAGTTCGAAATATACGGAAGAATTTAGATTGTAAGTTACTAGTAAGATAGAGATTTCGTTTCGGTTTTCGAATAGTATTTAGCGATATAATGAAGGACGGTTTAAATATTAGTATATAGAGAGATATTAGTATTAGCCAACCACCTTAGCAATATAGTAGGGTTCTAACTATTGATATCAGTATTATTGCATATATTATCGAATATATTATTTAATAGGGTGAATTCACAAGTAATATACAGTCTGTCGTATATTTCCCGAGGGAAGTTGAAACGATATACGGCCTCAGCGCTCATCGAATTATCGGGAAGTTTATAGCACTATAGATAGTACGTAGTATTATATTAATACCGGTTTATATAATCAATAATCCGGGATAGCATAGTAAAGGTTGGTTATTTGTATTACTTTATACGAATAATTAGTATATTGCTTTTAATTATAGCATTTACTCTAGGGGCACCCGGGTCGTCTTACGGGGGCACCCATCGGGTTAGGTTTTAACGTGCAGCTTTTCTCTTACCAACCTTGAATACAATCAGACAGTAGTTATACAACAGCATTTCCATACAAACAGTACCCAGCCCAATCAACTAGTAGAACCCCTTCTTTTGAACATACCTTTCAACTTAACCTTCTTTTTACTTCCTCTTTACTACCAAGCAAGCTATAAACACCAGAACAGGCTAGAACTAACCGCACGTACATAAATATCAATCGCATTAATTATTAAAAGCATTAACTAACCTTCTTTAACGTTTAAAATGGGAAAGCCTCCCCGCACCCTCCCTTTTCCTAGACGTACCCTGTCCCACTTAATGACAGCTGTTATATAATACCGGCTGTTTTAGCGGGTAATCTCGTAATTTATGATGAACCTGAATATATTGCTGAAAATCCCAATCTACCACAAAATAGCTACATCCTTTCTTTGCACTGGGAAGGGGCTTGGGACCTATAGGGTACTTAATAGAGGTAGCTATTGAGATTAGTACGTAATAGGTAGAGTAGTAATAAATATATATAGTAGAAACGGGTATAATAATAGCGGGTATAGTAGTAATAGCTGTAGTGCAACGGATGTAGTAGTGATGAGTGCTAATGGCCGTGCAAGAAAGAAGGAAGAAAACGCGGGCAATTAATATAGAGGAATGTTAGTAGACATTGAGAAGACGAAATTTAGCGTGCAAAAACAGGATTTTCAGTGTCAGGTGTCATGCAGCTGTAGTCCCACTTTTCTGGGTGGGGGAGGGTACGTCTAGGATTCAAGAGGGTGCGGGGAGGCTTTCCCTTCAAATTACCTTATAAAAAGATAGTGTCGCCCTAGGAAGTAAATGCGCCCCCGCCCATCGACCTTACCTATACGAGGAGGAGGAGGAGGGGTAGGAAAGCTTCTCTAATAGTAATACCCTCGATTCTAACGTACGGCCACCCAATTCTAACGATAGTGAATTAGAAACCGAATTCTTAATTAAAGAAATATAATTATAAACCTACCCTCTAGCGCAATACCTCCTACGGCTACAATTAAGGCTCTTTATAAGGTAATAAATATATAGGCAAAGTCTTATAAATTTGTAATCAATTGCACCTAGGAACGTAGTAAGCCTAGAGCTCCCGTTAAGGACTACACACAATATTATATTATTTATAATAGCTTTGGCAAACCACGGAAGTTTAACGTAACTACTCGAAAGATAACCTTATATAGATATAGTTATTAATAGAAAATACTTGCAAATGAAAATAAAGCTAATCTTTAGTACTTTCGTTTATACTCCAACCCAATCTTTTAAATCTACAATCACAGCTAGTCTTAGCACCTATTTGTATACCCCTAATATCGCAAAATAAAGCTAGAAATATTTAAGAAGATCGACGATACTTCTAAGTTTAATGCTATACGAGCTCGAAAGATTATTAATATCGTACGAAAAGACTTTCCCGGCTCTATATATACAAGGACCGATATATACAATTTACGCGCATATATCCGCCGCCGTAATTTTAATAATTATACCCCAACCGGTACTTTATCTATGTCTTTGGACAAAAACAGCATTGAATATATTAAAAAGATAGATTTAGAAGATAACGAACGGTTGTTGGGCCTTATTTTTACTTTTCTAGTTTGTATAGAAATAGTTAGAATATTCCCTAAAATTATAATTATTAACAATACTTATAATACCAACCGGTTTTATTATCCCTTTTACTAGGTCTCAAGCATTTCGTCTATTAGTTCAATATTTAACTTTATCTTTAGCATTATTAATAACGAGAAGGAAGAAACCTTTAACTTTTGAATTAAAGCTACTAAAGAATTAGAATTACACTATAATTTACCCCCTCCCGTTATTATCATTACAAATAAATATAAAGAAATAAAGCAATCTTTAGGAGAAGTATTTCTTAATACCTAATTATAATCTTATCTATTTTACATTATTAAAAATATACTATTCAATGCCAAAAAGAAGTAGAAGAGGCAAAAGGGGACTGACGGTAAAAATAGCAATAACTCTAAGGATGAAGAGGGCAAAAATAATTAGGAGAACCTAATTTCTTTTAATTCAATTAATTAAGGAGTTTACATCTCTATACGAACTAGCGGTACTCCTAGCAAATCGATTATTAGCTCTCAACCTATCACCAAAATTACTAATAACCCTTATAGTATTGTAGCTATAATTAAGGTCATAATGTATATTAGTATTGAGCTAGAGCTTTGGGTAGTTTAGGGAAGTTTGAAGAAGTAATTTGAGGGTCAAATACTGATTCGTCAATATATTTAGAAGATTTAGCTTCCTATTAGGGATTAATAGGTATATTGTTATCTTAAGAAGTATAGAAACTTTGGTATTAGGGTCACTTCGCTAATCGAATTAAGCAACCTTAGTATCAAAAGCTATTTTCTTAATAGTAATAATAATATTTATAGATTTATTATAGCTATTATAGAAATAGCTGTTAATTGATACTAGATTTTCAAAGAGAAGATTGTAAGATATTAAACCCGCCAGCAATAATAGTATATCAACCGTACGTATTTAAGGAAGCTACTGCTTTAAATTAACTACATTGCTCTCGAATTAATTAGCTACGAATACTACTAAGTAAAAAAGTATATACTAATTAATTAACGAAGAGATCCGCCTCCTTTGGAGCCTTGTAGTAAGGAATATAGTATTACTACCCAATATAAACTACTGTACCGCTATATTACTTTTAATAGGGTAGCTACAAATAAGGCTCTAAAAATTACCTATATATACCCTCGCTAGTACTATAAGGAACTACTCGTACGTTGAATCTATTTATCTATTTATATATAATTACTACCTAGTCTCATTCAATAGGATATTTATAACTTCTACCTTCGGTTTTGAGACCCCCGCATTACACCTACGAAGAGAGGCCGCCCTAAGAACTCTACTAAATTCATCCCTAACGAAAATACCCTTCCTATGAAGTAGTAGACTCCCAAATAAGCTACACTAACTTTAAAGAGAGGAGATAAGAAAATTAAGCTCATCAAACAGAGTAACCGCAATAACCTCCCTCACTTATAACCTAATATATAATATAAATCATTTTACTAGGAGAATAATAATATTAACGAACTTACTCCTAACTCTACTAATAAAATTACTAAACGTGAATATATACAACAGCCGGTTAGCTATAATACTTTTAATTATAGTAGCGAGTCGGGTATAATATTTGAAAGCAGCTCAAAGGTAGAGCTAGTACTAGATTATATTCAAATAATTGTACTAAATATAGAATTAGAGTCAGAATTAGAATCGATACAGCTCCTACTTCTAAAACTCCCACTTTTAAGACTCCTATTCTTTAAACTCTCTACAATACTCCATTTTAATCCCTCTTTGGAGCTGGAATTACAATTAAAATTCTTATACTCTCTAGAACCAACCCCTTCCCCAAAGTATACACTAGAGCCCACGCTAGAGCC